CAACATAAAATTGGACTTCAGCACATTAAAAAAAAATAAACACAAAAAATCCCTCTAGGCCACCTGACCAATTAAGAGTTCTCTTTTTAATTAGTTTCTTTCAATTTTATCTTTCCACAATTTCTTTAAACTAGATTATGTTTTCAAACAAAAAAAAATTGCTCTAAAAACGCAAACTTTTTTTCGGAAACAAAAAGCAAAGCAGACACCTTGTGAGCTATAGCTAAGGGAGGTGAATTTGGGAATTTGCTTCAAAGCTGAGAAAATTTCCCAGCGGGTTTTGGGAGAATCATAGGATCATTTAGGTTGGAATAGATCTCTTAAGATTATGGAGTCCAACCACTAAGCCAGTGCTGCCAAGTCCAGCACTAAACCGTATCCCCGAGTGCCACATCTACACTTACCCCACAGATGGTGACCCACCACTTCCCTGGGCACCTGTTCAGTGCTTGACAATAGTTTCAGTGAAGAGATTTTTTTCTAATAACCAATCTGAGCCTCCTCTTGCACAACTTGAGGCCATTTCCTCTTGTCCTTGGGAAGGAGGGGTTGGGAACAGCTTTGCCTTCCCCGGGACCATGTGGGGTCCATAACATTAGGTTGAGCTGTGAGACCGTGGCTGCTGGTGACGAGCTCCTCTTCTTCCCACCCAGGTCTTTGGCTACTTGAACTTTATCCTCTGGGCAGGCAACATTTGGTTTGTGTTTAAGGAGACGGGCTGGCATTCCTCAGGCCAGCGGCACGCTGCGGACACCATGGAGAAGCAGCCCGGTGGCTACAACCAAGGTGGCTACAACCAAGACAGCTATGGGCCAGCTGGTGGCTACAACCAGCCAGGCTCCTATGGCCAGGTGGGTGAATATGGCCAGTCCCAGAGCTATGGGCAGAGCGGGCCAACCTCCTTCGCTAATCAAATTTAGGGTTCATGCAACGCAAGCTCTTGCATCCCTCGCAAGTAGAGAGTTTAGCAGGTCTCAAGTTTCAGTGGCACCAGATTTTTAAGGGTTCTACATAAATTAATACTACAACACAGTGTTTAATGTCCATTGAAGGTCTAAGCCCACCTCCTTTGGCAAATGGGAGGTGACCAGTGGGCTGGAGTTGGCCTTTCTTTCCCTGACTAGCCAGACACAGGGGATGTGCTCCTCGCCGGTGACCTGGAGTTGCTGTTGTAGTACGTACTGTAGAGATAACTTTATGGTAGTTTTGTATGTGTTAAGATGGTAGAAGCTTTTTGTAGCCTCAAGTCAGTAGTATTTAATATGCATAATATAATTGAATTTCCTTCTGCATTTTGGTGAAAAACAGAAGTGTTTTACTATGATTTCTACAGATTATTCTGTATATCCATGCATGTAACATTGCACCTAAATTTTCAGAACTGCCTGTCTGTGACTCTTCAGAGAGTTTGTTTTGGTTATACCTTTTAGTTTCAGAAGATTTTACTATTATTTCAGTTAAATGAGTCATCCATCTGTAATTTAGTGCATGGATAAGCAGTTTCATACTACCAAATGTCTGGACTGTGTAAATGGACATTTTGTTAAATGTCTGTTTAAAAGAAGTATGCATCTTTTATATATTTTGCAGAGTTGAATATATGGCTTACCCAAGTTCTGAATGCTTTGTAACTAAACTGTTTTTCCTTGAAATGGCATTCAGTAGTATATATGGTACCTGACCAATGTTTATTCCATTTAACTCAGCTAAGTATTCCTTCTATAAATCACTATTTCTATGGATGTTTTGTGAATCTTTTAACGTGAGCTGTGGAGCATAAGGACCAAGTAACTGTGTTATATGTTTACAAAGGTATTTATTTAACTAAGATAACAGAGGTGCAGATATCAGTATACAAAATCATGTGGAAACGCCCTGTTGCTTGATACAGCAACATGAAAACCGCACGTATTGTTGTGATATTACAAAGCATAAATATTCCTTTATGCCCTTTGATGAGAAGAAAACCTTTCTGTCCGTGCTGTTTCAAGATTGTTAGATATCCCTCTGTTAGATTGCTGCTCTGAGCGCTAGCTTGGTGCTAATGGAGAATGTAACTGGATTGACCAAATAACCCAGGCTCAGAGGAACTCGTCCTAAAAGAGCCAGAGCCAGACTTGTAGCCTGTTTGAATTCCTCCCTGGGAAATTCAACCCTCCCTCACTACAGCATATGGGATGCATTGACACAAACAAAAGCCTGAAGCACAATGTACTAATCAAAACTGATCATCTGCATTTCTAGATCAAAGTGTATCAGTATATAATCTTATTGTATGAGCTGTAATGTTGAAAGCATCTTAGCTTAAAACAGCTTAGTCTCTTCTATGATTGTTGTAACCAATTTATGGCTACTCAGTGGATGAATCTATATTGTGATATCTATTTGACCCTAATAAAGTTATTGCATACAATGCATGTTTTCAGAGTATGTTACTATTGAAATGTCACTGCCAAATAATGAAGATAACTATTAAAGAAAAATAACTATTCCCGTGCCTGACCTTATTGGTCATATTCTTACTGTTTTCCAACACTTTAATGGGGATTGTTTTAATGTACAATGGAGTACAACACTTCTGCAGACACCTGTCATTAAAGGTCAGTATCACAAGTTTTTTAAAAAAATTAAAAGTGTGCAGTTTAATACCTGCCTGCCTCTTTACCTCTCTTTCCACTGTCAGTAGGACTAGCCCAGTACTGTGCTAACCATCCCAGTTCTGAGGATTGCTGGAAAGCTATGTGTGAGTTGTAGAGAAAACAAACTGGAATATCTAAACGTTCTCCTATTCCAAATGAGGGCAAAATACAATTTTCTGGGTTAACAAAAAATGTTATTTTGGCTCTTGGTTAATTTGTTTGGGGTTTTTTTATTTGGGTTGGTTTTTGGGGTTGTTTGTCTGTTTGTTTTGGATTTTGATTGTTTGTTTAGGGATGTGGTTGTTTTGGTTGGTTTGTTTTTCTTCTTTTAAGTTTGGAAAGACGTTAGACATCAGCAAGTCAGGAGAAAGTGAAATCTGTGTGTCTGGCAAGGGGTGTGATGGGATGTATTCTCTTCGTACATTCTCCCACATATTCCTGCTTCTACTCTATTTTTAGTTTTTTGTCATTGTTGTTCCTTTAAATTCCCTTTCTATTAGTTGGTGATGAATATCCCAAACTAAGCTCCCATTTCTAAGCTTCTCTACTAAAAATAGTATCTGATTCAACTAGCCTTCTCTTCATGAACTTTTCCACCCAAATCAGCAGGGTCCCATTCCTAAACTTTTCAATCCAATGCTGAGGAATGGAAATTAGTTTTGCTTTGGTTTATTCCTGCATTTCAAACCAGATGAAATTCTTGTGTAGCCACGTGAGTACAGGCTGCAGCTTTCTTGAGTTCACACCCTTGGAGAAAGGGCAGTTTCTGATACAAGGCTCGGAAGAGAATTACGTTTATGTCATATTTTGGGTACTATTTGTGCAACTCCAGGTCTGAGGTTTTCTCATGAAGGGCAGGACTGGTAGAAGCATTAAAAAAATAGTAGGCATATACTTTCATGGAAGACTTGCCCCTGCTCTACCCAGCTGGCCAGACCTTTACAGGTACCTCAGCACCTTGCTGCTGTACAGAACAGTTGAGCCAGTTGTTACCCTTTGGGGACTGTAATCTTCACTCTGAATTAGAAGGGAAGAAAAATCTCTTTATCTATAGCTTCTCAGATTAATAAAGTATGGCAGCAGCAAAAGTGAAAACAAAAATGATGCATGCACTTGTCTGTGTTATGTAAGAAAATGTATTTAAATGTTTCCTCTGTCTTCCTCTAGATTTGAGTCTTATCACATCCTTTTGCAGTTGCTGAGAAATTGAAAGTTTATTTCAGCTGGTGGCTGCATAGCCAAGGGTTGAGCAGTTTATGAAAGACTCTATTTGATGTTACCTGGATTTAAGACAAGTAGCAAAGTACACTTGAGCATCCTTTGTGAAACTGCTGCTGGCAGTGTCGTTGCTTTCCTGCTTCATCATTAGAGTATCTCTGCCAGTTAGTTAAATAACTAGGTCAGCCTGGGAGAGAAAAAACATGTTCCTTGATCTTTGTGCTGTCCCTCCTGTTTTCCCATGTGTTTCTCTTTATAGCCCATTTCTCAGCTACCCAAGTTAGGAGCGTGTTTGCATTTTCAAGTGTGAAGCTATGGGGGAGAGGCAGGTACATCTGGTGAGTGTGGTGGGGAGGGGGAAGCACAGGACTTTCTCTCCAGGTGCCTCAGAGACCAAAGAAGGGGCATGTTCACCTGCTGGTTTGGGGTTTCCCCCATGGCTCGGGAGGGGATGCACTTTGCAGAGCTGGAGCATCAATGCCCTCCATGGGAAGGTGCTGAAGAGGGCAGGGAGGGTAATTCTGGGTACCACTGGCTCTGCAGCCTGCTTCACTTCCCACCCAGCACATCAAGGAGACAAGGATGAGTTGAGATGCAAACACAGCCCACGGGGCTCTGCCATGGCCAGATGGGGTTGGGGTTTTTGTGTGTGATATTTTTCCTGATGACCAAATCTCCTTCAGTGTGGCCATTGAGCTGCACATAACAGAGCCTCAGTGACTCTGAGACTCTCTAAGACTTGGAGAAAGTTTGTGCTCCTGTTGCATGAATTCGTGTTACAATTGCCTGACCCAATTAGGTTAATTATTTGCAATCTTTATGTGCTCTCAAATTGGAAGAGCAATCCAGGCTGTAGCCCTGAATCAATCTTGGCTGAAACTGTGATGTGCTGATACAAGAGGCAGTGGCATCAACATGCATTGCACCTCCCTGTAGTCTGTTCCTGACAATATCTCCAGAGTTTCACAGTTTATATGACGGATTAAGAACTACTGATTAAAAACTGCCACATATTATTTGTTTTCTGAAAAAGTTCTTCTCATTATGCCATATCATGTCACAAGCATTTAGTTCTTTGTCCACTAGTTTTAAGACAGATTTGAGTCAAAATTCCTTATGTATGTGAATGGATGGTCTACTTCAATATTCTTTTTTAGGATTTCTTTTTATTCCCTACTTCTGCTAAACCCAGGAGCTTTTCCTTTTGGAATTCTTTAACATCAGCAATAATTTGTATTTTTCTGTTAATATATCTGGTGCTGATTATCCCATCATTTGTCAATTACATCTAACCTTATTATGAAGACCTTATCATTTCAATATGAAATGTTAATAGTTCAGTGGGGAGGCATGCTGTTTGTTGCATTTAGTTTCTTTCCTTACATTTTTATTGTTGTGTCCCCCATTAACGAGATTCTAGTTTTTTAAGAATATAGCTGCCTTTCTGAAGTCTAAAATATTTCTCAGAGGAAAAATTACTTGGCAAGAGTATTTTCAGGATTAAGGTTGATCTGGTTGCATCCTCTCTGCCATGGGCAGGGACACCTTCCACTATCCCAGGTTGCTCCAAGCCCTGTCCAACCTGGCCTTCAACACTTCCAGGGATGGGACAGCCACAGCTTCTCTGGGTGCAAGTTGGCAGCTCTTCTCCTGCAGCTGCTGCAGGGTTTGCTGCTGAAATGCAGCCTGAGAGGCCGGGAGGTGTGAGTGCATCTCCTGTTTCAGGTCTGCCCTTGTGCCTGTGTCCCTGGGATCCTGCCCGCTGTGGTCCAGCCCTGCCCCGCCCAGGGTCATCTCTAAGGGAGTCAGGGCTCTGCCACACACACACACGTTTCACAGCATCAGCCTTCTGAAATGCAAAAAGCACTTCCTTGAAAAGGAGGGGAAAACTCAGGGAAACTACCAAAAGTGAAGCAGAGGCTGTGTTTTTTTTGCAGTGGCAATTATGTTAAGTGAACTGCCTGTAAAGACTTTGCAGTTTGAAGTGGCAGGTTGCGTATTTTGCACAGACAGGATTGTTAACGTGTGAAACATGCTAAAAATTGACCAATAAAGGCACCTGGATATTTCAAACAAAAATAGTGTGTACCAAAATAGCTACAGAGCAGATGGCCTGGCTCCACACACACCTTGCTGACCAGAATACTCGAGCAACATGCACAGCCAAAATCTCAGTCTTCAAAGCTGATCATCTGCAAAGGCAAGGGTTATCCTCATGCTGCCCTTTATCTGTCAGGCACAAACGCTCCTGCACATGTTAGTTAGTGTATCCTAGAGGGATAATGAACCCCAGGTTTTTCTGAACTTGCTACTACCCCAGCAAAGCAAATCACCTGTTCTAGAGCTCAGGCTCTCAAAAGTCGGTGAGATTAAAACAACTGTGAGCTGAAATCTGAGCTACAGTGGAAAGATCCCAAAGCACAGAGGGCTGGGTTTGCCAGCCCGCTCTCAGTACTGCCTGCCACTGATAAACAGGCAACTCATTCTGTTTCTCACTCTCATTTTTTACCTTGGATGCTAAGGCCAAACATCTCAATTTCTCATATTAACCGGGATGTAACAATTTTCATGCCTCTTTGTATGGTTCAACAGATGTGAAAGGGAATTATCACTTCAACATGATATCAAGACTCTTTTTTTTTTTTTTTTTTTTTTTTTAGCTGATGGCAGATTACTAAGTCTGAATTCTTGTTTAATTTTAGTGTGTTAATTGATGGAATAATGAGCATTGATTATATGTGTTTTGGCTTCGTCATTGCAATTATAGGCTCTGTTTTATTCATGAGCCAGTCCTAAAGAATGCACTAGAGATCTAAGACAGCTTAAACCTCTCAGAAAAAAGGCTCTGAATTGTTTGAGTAATGACACTCTTAGATGGAAAATTAAAGGTTTTCTTTTCCCATGCTTTTTAAGATAATTAAAATCCAGGAACGGTAAGGTGGTGAACATCCTTATTCATTAGCCTTCAGTAATTTAGCTTCTACTAAATGAGGAAAACATTTTAATTCTCTAGGCCATCTGTTGCAGTCTCCTTTGTGTGTCCCGTTACATAAAGTCTCATCATGGATAGTTTTAACATCAGTATTTTATCCTGTCACCAGGAATGATGAGCTGGATGAGGCAGTTGAAGTCACCACCTATTAACAGACCACCCTGGAATTAAAGTGGCTGCTTTGTCTTTTAAGTTGAAGTTATCCTGTCTAGACACTTCCAGGCAAAGGATCCGCAGAGAGGAGCCCGTGCATGGAGATAGGCAGTGTGACAAGCTGTGTTTTCTAATAGCAACATCCCTGCCAATAAATAACAAAGTTCATTGGAGCCCTTCCAGTTCCGCTAATGTGCGACTGCTCTGCCATATGGCTCCGTGCTGCTTTGGGGAGCAGCTCTCTGCTTGGCTGGGAACCACAGCCCAGGCCCTGCTGGGCGCTGCTCTGGAAGTGGTTTGGAGGCAGAGCAGGTCTCTTTGCACTGGGACAGGGAAATAGAATAAATATTAGAGTGTGCTCACCTAGGATAAAAGCTGGATGAGGAACTAAGAAACACTTGGATCCCGACTCTGGCTGCAGGAATAACTCACTTTATAGCTTGGGGCAAGTTACATTATCCCACACTGGGAAAGTTTCTCATTAAAATTATAATTTGTATAGATGAATGGATGCAGTGTCAAAGTTATTCCTGATGCAAAGTTACATCCCTACAGATCTAAGAGGATCCAGGTTCCATTATGAGTTGGGTTTGTTTCTGTCAAATTCCCCTGTAAAGTACAAGCCCCACAACTTACCAGCCCAGCAGTGCCTTCCAGAGGCTGCTGTAGACTGGTGTGTTTACCTGGCTCCAGGATTGCCAGGTAGTGTTTACATTATTGATAGGCATGGCTACAAGCAGGCTGCTTCCACGGGGCAGAGCTTCCATCCACCTGCTTGCTATTACTCAGTTGCTTGGAGATCACAAACACCCTGGCCTGGAGATGTGTGGCTGCAGAACAAGTGTTCCCAGTGGGAAGCAGAACGCAGTCAGTCAGCCAGCTCCTGCTTCCACCAAAAAAGGGGCTCCAGCTGCTGCAGGCATGCCCAAGGGGTAAGTCATTGCTTGGTTATGGCATCTGGGTGATCTGCCATTTGTGTTGAAACTCATTATCTGGGTGTGTTTGTCTCCATCGCATGCTCTGTAATTAGTTGCTAGCAATTCAGCACAAGGTAAGCAGGTTTTAGGTTTTGATTGAAAGCAGGGGGGGTGATTCTCATGAATGTGAGTCCTGCTGCAAATAAAAGCTGTGTGCCTGCTCCAAACTGGGCATTGGTGAGGCTGACCCTCTCTACTTTCCTGGGAATGGGTATAAAACTGAGAAATCTCTGGGACCTCTTTCATGTTCATGAAGAAATTATATGAAGTGTGTTGCAATGTCCCCCATTTAAAATGAATAATCAACTTTAGGAACAACTCCAGGCTACCCACTTAAGTGAGGAATTAGAAGCTGTGTGATGTTCTTGTGCTTCTTGTAGAAGCCATTTTCCTTTCCACTCTGAAGGAAAGACACTGTCCCTTGGGGAGCCCTGAGTTCCTGGGTGATTAAATAAAACAGAAATGAGCAAGCTCATTCTTGGAGAAATTCAATACCAAACACAATTTACCAAGTGATAATTGTGCCTCTCTGCTTTCTCACCACCAGTGTACCCGTAGCCAAGCAGCTGGCATCAATAAAAGGTAAGGGGAGCCCTTCACTGCCCCTTTGGGGTTCAGGTCCTTCACAACCCACGTGCAGAAAGTTCTGCCAGTGTCACAGGGCTTGCAGAGGCTGTGCAGATCCTCAGCTGATGCAAGTCAAGAGGGTCTCATGTGTCCCTGTGCCATGTACTCCTGTGTTTACATTTCCTCTTGTGCTTGCCGTTTCATAAAAAATCACAGCATAAATCATCTGTGTAACCTCTGCTAACCGAGGCTTTGTGAGCATGCAGTGTTTCAGAGTCATGCACGAGGGGGAGAATGAATCCAGCCCAGATCCCAAGTATGCCATGATGCTGAAGTGCAGCACTGCTGCTCAGACGTGGATGGTCCTGTGCAGCCAGGCTTCCAAATGGGCTGTGTTTTCCCAGATGCAGGTCTCTGGGAGTCCAGGTGCATCCAGGAGATGGTCACCATGGCCTGTCCCCATGGTGTGGCAGGTCCTTGCTGGATGCCCAGGGTCAGGATAGGCCAGATGAGTCTCAAGCCCCATGCTCCAAAGGAAAGCTTCCTTCAGGGTGTGATTGCATGGGATATGAGGCATGTTGCTGGCCCATTCCAAATAAAATCTGGGCCAGATCCTCTGTGGGTATAAACAGTTTCAGTCTCATTAACTTTAATGAAACTACACAGATTTCCACCCACCCAGGATGGTTTTAACAGATTCCTTTCAATTGCATCTCAAAAGCTTTTCTTTTTTTTTTTTTTTTTTTTGGTGGGGGGTATAAACTTTTCCTCCCTCCAGCTCTAAGAAAAGGCTCAGACCTTGAAAAGGCTTTTGCTACAGCAGCTTTGGTGTATAACAACTATGCTGATCCTGAGAGCAAGCTCAGCAAATCTGAAACCAAGAGCTTACTGCAATCCCAGTTCTGGCATTTCATACAGGTGAGGGGGTCTGCTGAGTGGGTGGCACTGGGACAGCCCTGGCTGGGCACTTTGGGTGCAGGAATGGCAGCTCAGGCTCTCTCCTGCAGCTTGGAAAGCATCAGTCCATGGAGAAATTCCAAGTGAGACTTCAGGGATTTGGTACAAACATTCTGTGATTTAGTTGCTTTATGTTGAGCCTGTGTCTAACACGGCCAAAGAACGGGGACAGCAACAAACCACAGCTGATGCCTCCTCAAATTTCCTTAATGAAAACAGGGCAATTGCAACAAAAAACCCAACCAACCAAATGAAAATCCTTGGATGATGACAAGAGGCTGGTTTTATGAAGAGAAGAAACTCATGGCATTTAATGAGGTGTTTGGTGGTTTGCCAGAGCACAGAACCAGCACTGGGAGCCAGCCCTGAGCCACAGAGCTGTGTCCACTGCAGTCACAGGTGGGAGAGAGGGGCAGAAAGCCCTCACCCACCTGGCTGGGTATGGTGAAAAACCATCATAGCAGCACTTGTGGCTGTAAACTTCCTGCAGGGCTTTTTCTCCCCTCCCTAAATTAAAAAAAAAAAAAAAATGTGGTAGGAAAAGCTATATAGGACTAATAAAAAAGAGTTCAAATAAGTAAATGAGAGAGGTAATACTTTTACTTCCAAAAATAACAAAATCACATGACTGGTTGGGGAGGGGAAATTGGCACCAAATTAGAAACTAGGCACCTTGTTGGAAAAGAATTGAAAATATTACTGGAAGTAATTAAGCTTGGAATCCTGAGATGCTTTGGAAATTATTAAGCTAAAAACTACCCTGAAACTCTAGCAAGGTTTTTTCATTAGGAAATATAAATAATAGATATGTTACAGAATTTTAATTATCCATTCCAGCAGGAATGCCCAAGAGGACCAAGAGTAGCAGTACTAAAGTTATGCCTGTAAAATCAACAGTTTCTGAGACCTTCACAATATGTAATTGTATATATTTGAATATTAAATTTAAGAGGGTTGGTGTGTTGGTTGGTTGTTTTAACCTCCCAGTTTTATCAAGACACAGGACTCCCTTTTTTCCCTAGCAGTTACCAGCTAGATTCATCATTGTCAGATTATCTTTCAGTCATGATTAGGTGTGTTGTAGACATAAAGATATATTCTGGATTCTGATGGAAACTTTGAGGACTGGTTGTTTTCCTTTCTGACTGCAATAATATTTCTGTTTGAATTGCTTTGGATATCTTTTGAAAGACTAATATATATGAATGTAGACATAACAACCTGAATGGGAAAATAAAAAATACATTAATATTTACATAGGTAGATATCTTTTTTTCCTAATGATGCAATTAAAAAGGAACATCATGTTTTTTTTTTTTTTTCTTTTCTATTTAAAATCCTCCATAGGGCCAAGAAAACAAACCAAAATACCAGGAAATAATTTCTTCCTTGGATGAAGAGTCAGAGAACAAAATTAATTTTGAAGATTTCATGATCATGTTAGTCAGTCTCACTCTAATGTCTGACCTGCTGCAGGAGATCAAAAATGTGAAAACCACAAAATGATCTGTGATTTTATAGAAGAAATGGCCTGGCACCATATGAGGAAAGCATGAGTGAGGTACACACAGAGATACCACTGTGTACCTGGATACCCAGTGCTGGTCCCTTTTAAATGGAATAAAGTTGTGTCCAAACCTGGCTGAACTTACTCCTCTCTTGAACCATCCATGGCATCGGTGCTCAGGGCTTTGTGCCCACTACATTTGTGCTTTGGAGAGTGAGAGACTGGCTCCTGCTGGTCCAAGACCAGTGAACAGCTGGGGGAAACCCAGTTTAATGCCAGGGAAAGGCAGCCCAGGCTCTCCCAGACCTCTCCATCCTCTCCCTGTGGTAGTGTGGGAGATGATGGAGAGACAGCTGCCAAAATGTCCAGCTCCCCAAATGTGCAGTGTCCCTGGAGTCAGGGCTGCCCAGCTCCCTGGGCTCTCCCAGTCACCCCAGGGGCCTTCAGCCCTGAGCAGGGCACTACCAGTGACGGCTTTCATGATGGACAATGGCCACAAAATCTGCTGCTGTCTCAGGTAAAGATTGATTTTAGCCTGTGTGGTTTCCACCCCACCATTAACCCTGCTGAAGGGAGCATTTGTTTACTTTTATTTCCTCCTCCAACTGCTTTCTTCATTTAGAGATCACAATAGAAGGAATTTCAAGGAATTTTAAAGGAATTTCAAGGAATTCTCTGGCAGTGCTGTGCTTGTATGACCAGGGGAATGACCCAAACATGCCAGCCAGCTGAATCTGCTGTTCCGTGAAACTGTAAAAGCAAAAACCAGACAAGAGGTGGTCCAGACCAGGGATGGTGGGGAAAAAGAATATCTAATAAATTGTTTGTATTGGAACTGAGTGATATTGGTTAGGGCCAGAGCCTCAGTATTAAATGCTCATCATCCTAATATTTGGTTTGATTCCTACCTAGGAAGTAGTAGCTCAGAGCCAGCATCCCACTGTGACATCCTTTTGGGACACAAAAGCAATCTCACATCCTAGGAACAGAACAGCCTCTGTAAGGATTTATAAGAATCTACCAAGATGAGTGAGCCAGCCTTTTTGATTTTTTTTTCTTCCTTGTCTGGAAAGGGGAAGACAAGAATGATTTAGCTTTGGTGCATGAATTTTTAACAGGAAGGGATCAAACCCTCTAGTGTTAAAAGAGGGAAATTAATGCCTGCTGATTAATGAGATTTAACTCTTTGACATAAAAAGGCTCTTAGTGTTTTCAGGAGCTAAGACGATGTTTTGTGATGGATTCTGATGTGAAGGAAAGACTACAGTAGAAGTCCAGCAGCCAATTGTTTGGAGAAGGAAGGTCTCTGTGCAGTGTGGGATGGAGCTGAAAGAAGAAATGCAAATGGATATGGTGGATTTTGAGATGAAGCTCAGCAGGTAAGGTGCTGGGTTTGGACCTCAGCCAGGACAGGCCCAGTCTGGAGGCTAAACATTCTCAACTGGTCCTGCTACAAATAAAACCTCATATTAGCAAAGCCCCTGCTGTGATGGTGGGTAGCAAGAACAGGCAGCATCCACCCTGTGCAAGAAGTGACAAAGCCAGCACACAGCGTTTCTGCCTGTTCTGGCTGTGTGGCTGCTCAGGACACGTCCCTCCAGGGCATCCCCCTGCTGAGGGACTGGTGCCCCTGTGCTGTGAGGATGGCTGCTCCCATGGGGTGCCCATCAAGCCTCCCAGGGGTGGGATCACCCACGTTGGTATCACAGTTTGATACTGTGTCCCTGCTGTTACACATTCACTTTCGTTGTCCCCTTGTTTTCTGCCAGGTAGATTTGTGAAAGCCTAAAATATCAGCTGATGCTCTTTTTCTGGGGTAGGAAGATGGACTGAATGTGAGTCTATAGGCAGTATTCCCATTATTCAGACAAAGAAGACACAGCACAGCCCTGAAAAGATTGTTTGGGAGCCACTGGTTATGCTGGAAGCATACATTTCCTAATATCCCTCTGTCACAAAATAAAATAAAAAATGACTGAAAGGAAAAAATATTGTGAAGCCAATTAAGAAAAAGTTATTTGAAATTTCTAAGGCTCTAACAGAGTTTTTGTTGTTGCTGAAATGTTTCTAGATCTTGCATAACTTGAATTAATGACTTAAGAGCCTTTTATCAGCCTTATTCACTCTGTCATCTCATCATTTGCAAGCCCTTTTTATCCTAATTTGCCGTGTTGTGAGCAACATCCTGAATCCCTGGCTTGGATCAAAAGCCCCTTGTGCTAAGCACAGTGAAAATTCAAAGTAAGAAGCAATTCCTGAACACCTCAATAGCAAAGATATTGAAATGGTAGGGAAGGAATCAGAGGCACAGGAAAACCAAGTGCCTTGTGGGCACAGGTAGCAGAGCTGGATTCCAGCCTGCTCTGGGCTCCTCACACAGAGGCACTGGGATAGATTCTGAACAAGGTGACTGGGCTCGATCTGCATCAGTCCTTGAAAGGCCCACCTGATGCTCCAAAGCAGAAGGACGTGCTTGGAACAGCCCCAGCATCTTCTTTCAGTTAGGAGTGGGCAGAAGTTTGCAGTGTGACTGTGGAAGATGCTCTTTTATTCACTCAGACTGTGTGCCCTGAGCGCTCTCAGCTGTTGGCTTTGAAGCTGATCTGGTGCAGACAGCATGTCTGGCTGCATCCTCAGGGAGCAGGCTGTAAGCTTGCTTTAAAATCTACTGTTGTGCTTTATTTTGTTCCTAGCTCACTCCCAGCAAGGGCAAAGGACTTGAGCAGCAGCTGAGTTGATGAAATCTGCAGGTTCCTCTGCCTCAGCAAGTGGGAACATCCTGTCAGTGTCTGATACCCTGAGAAATGAAAGTGGTGTGGAGAGTGGCCAGCCAAGAGCTGACCTCTGTGTGCTTGGGGTTATGTTGGGATTTGTGCCACGTTCGGGTATGAACTTTGGGAGGTTCTGCAGACTTTGGATCTAAGCCTTAAGTTCTGTTCTGAAAAGCCTGAATCATCTCTGCAGTTACATGAGCTTTCAGATGACTGCCAGATGAGAAATGAGGGTTAGGGAGAGCTTCAGCCTCAGATCTTCAGCTTCCATTTCCAAATATCAGCTCAGGAAGGCAGGCTGATTCTCAACTTTAATTAGCTAACAGCTTCTCTCCGTGACTTCTTACTTTGTATCTGGCCTTAACTCTTTTGCCTGCTGAATTTAGAAAGTTTTTAAAATCTGGCTTTAGTCTAATCTCTGCGGGGCTTTGGCAGATTGCAGAATTCTCCCATCCCAGTGCACGGACTTTGAGGAGGTGAGTCAGGGCAGGGCTTTGCATGTTGAACTTTTTTTCTGGGAGCCCAGGGCCACACACACTGTATGTACAATTTTTCAGAAGTCTTTCAGGGAAGAGAAGTAACATTTTTCAACTGTCTTGCTGTTACTGTATCTTCAGTAAGATCTCCAGTGCCTCATATCTGGGGCACTGGAGCCTGGATGCTGAGGGAACCCTGCAGCCTGAGACAAGTTTACACGTTTTCCTTGTCTCTTGCTCCCTCAGAGGAAGTGTTGTGTTATTTTTTCATGTAAGTTTAAACTTGCCCTGGGTGCATGCACTTTGAAAGTATCTGTGTGATGCACACCTCACCTCAGGGCTGCCACGTGTCCTGGTCCATGAAAGCTTCTCAGCAGCTACATCCACTCAGGTGGTTGTTGTAGCAGGTCTCTTTGCAGAGAGGTAGAGTTTTGCATTGTAGTTTGCAAAGAAAGTGGTTAAATTGTGGCAACATGGTAGGAAAACCTTCTCCTGGAGTGTTGGAAAGATGCTGTGTGGAACAACCCCTTAGGAGCTCAACAGAGCAGGGGAAAACTTTGTCCCAGAATTATGTTCTTTGCAAAGTGTGGTAATTTGTGAGCCTCAAAGGAGTGCTCTGAAATGTCTCTTGAAAAATAAAATCTCTGTTTTAAGCTCAGTCAGGGAACATAGATGTAGAAGAGGTGGTGGTTTATGGCTTTTTGAGTAGACAGCTTTTAATCCTGCATTGACTTTTACTGCAGTCAGTGGTTTATGAGGTTTCCAGTGAAGGTGCCTCCTCACTTTGCCCACCTGCTATTCATCCCCCCTATATAAGGGTTTATATCCCTAGAACTGAGTCCTCATCCAGCAAAGGTAAACAGCAAAAAAATGTTCAACAGCCTCTGGGCCAAAATGCAAATTTGGGTTTATAACAAATGAGTGTGTTTCCTAAAGATCCACTGAGTCTCAAACAGGACCTGGAATGCTGAGGGCCTCAGGGCAGGGAGGGACCCCAATGGATGCCCAAGGTGTCTCTCAGTGCAGAGCAGTGTGAGCTGCAGCCTCACGCTTCTGACACCCATAATGCAAACCCTGGAACCAAGGGACCAATTTCCATTTGTGATTTCCTCTTCCTTTTATTCCCCTTGCCATGATCCCTCTCTCTTGGCTGCTATCTGCTGGACCCTGATGTGTGGAGGAGCACAAAAGATGGCACATGCTCCTGGGAAGCTGCTGCTGGATCAGGGAGGGGGCAGGACCTCAGTGGGAATGTTTCTGCCCCTCCAGTAAAACCAGCAGCCCAAACAGATGCAGCAGCTCATCAGTGGGCAAAATCAAGCCTCTGATTGTCCTGAGAGGATCAACAAATGATGTCCAGGGTACGAGGAGCTCTCCCACTCCTGCAGCCTCTCACACACAGAACCTTATTTGTTGGCATCTGGGCACTCAAGCATCACTGGAGCAAAGGAGAAGCACCATAGGAGCTGATTTTGGTGAGACTTGTCTTGCTGCCTGTGATCACTGGGAGCCTTGATAAGCATTAGTCAGTGTTACAAACTGAGAAAGGAGCTCTCTGGAAAGGCAGCTTTGACTGGATACACTGTTGGATGCCAGGTCTCTGCTTGAGTTTGGAAAATGAAGCTGGGCATCCAAGTATTCTTACAGCAGAGACAAACAGAAATATCTACAACCCAACCCTGAGACCTTCCTCCTTCTCCAGTGGTTGACCAGACAGCCTTCCCACTATTGCTTTGATTTGTTTTCCCAGGAGTATGAGATTTATTTACTTTGACACGTGGGACTGTTGGAGGAAGTCTGTGTACAGGTGTTGACCCACCTGTGAATTTTTCTTGATACAGTTTCTGCCTCCATTCCCACATAATGCTCTTTTGAGGTTTGTTTGAAG